TATAATACTATAATATTATAATATTAAACTATAATATTAAGCACTAATTATTAGACTGATTAAAGCTATAAAATTTTAAACTATAATATTAAGCACTAATTATTAGACTGATTAAAGTTGTCAAAAATGGTCCAAACCGATCAATTAAAAATTAAATTTACAAACAAACGTACGAGCAACGAGGTTGCCAATAATTAAAAAAAAAAAACCTCAGATCCATCGCGAGCATTAGGCAATCTCGACGAAGAAGATGTTCGAGAAATTCGTGGGCCTTTCGACTCGCAACGATAGCCAGTGCCCCTGGGTCAAGAGAAATTCGAGCTATTTGAGCTTATGTCAGAGAAGGATTACCCCTGTAGATTATGCCCGGCGATATTTTTCTCGAGACCGTCCGTCCCACGTCTAGAGAGCACATCCACGTTGGGCTGGTAAGGATCCTCGCGTTTTATAATTCGCCAACGCGTTGCAGCTAAAGCAGCTTATCTGCGTTGCACAGACAGGCAATTTTCATAGGCATTTTCGTTTTTCACTCGTGCATCCAACGCAGCGTGAGGAAAGATCAAAAAAAATAATCGGTCTCGATATCAACCGTGCTTGAAACTCGGGGCGGGTGTACACACTATATCGATTCTCTCGATGGAAATTCGATTACAGGCTCCGCTGATTTTAATGGAGACATGTTGCACAAGCGTATACAATGGCAGGTTTGATGGTTTAGAGACACGTGCGTTGTCTGCGGGTATGTTAAACAATGGACCGTGATTTGCAGGCCGCTGGAGAACTAAATGAAGATCTTTTCAAATTTCTAATTAATTTTTCGTAATAAATCCTCCCCTCTGCAGAGATATTGAGTTATACGTTGATTGCTGTCAATTGTGTTTAACTCGTAATTGGTGTGATCGGTGCATTGGGTTTATAATATGCAATAATTGCAATATTGCAGTTGATTTGATTTAATTGAACGGATGCAGAGTTTGTGGTTATTGAATAATAAATGTGATTATGTTAGAGTGTTGGCTAAATGAATTTAAAACTTTTCATTTTTTATATTTGGATAGGTGTATTTTCCTTGCAAGATATTTATCAACTATTGTCAATTACGTTTCATTAACGAGGAAATTGGAAACAATTTTTTTTTTTTCAGGGTAAAATGTGAATTTTTACTTGTCGTGGAAACGTGTTGTAAAAAAACATTGATTTATTAAAAAGAAAGTGTTGTATCGTGTGAAAATTTTACATAAATTTCAATTTTAAATTTTAATAAATTTTAAGATTATTCTATGTCCTTTTCGACGATGGATATTTGTTGTGTCTAATAAAATGTTCTTGTTAATTCTCTATTCGTCGCTGTAGTTCATAAACAAACTGAGAACGTGAAATATTTCTACAAGAAGATACCGAAATTTTTTGATTAATTCTTGTAACTTTCGAAGATAGAAAGTAACCTGTACGATTTTATTCCAAATCTGTTTAAAAAGTCGCGCACTGCTATATTTACCCCGAACGTATCTCGTCTACGTGAAATTCTACTTTCACCTTTTCGTATTCACGAAGTTTTCGTTTTGATATCCGTACAAAATCCTCGGCCGTCTCTTATTTCTCCAACTTTTCTGTGTAATTTGTCTCTTCGCGACAAATTTACACAGCCACGCAAAAATCAGTACAATTAAAAAAAAAAAAAAACGGGTAAACAAATCCTTACGAATCCTGCGAGTTCTTTTGTCGAAAATAAAAATAGAAAAAGAATAATATTTTCGTTTATTCAAATATACAGTTACACGCATCGTCCGTGCATGTGTGTTATTTTGTGTTTATCGCAATGTGTCAAATTGATACGAGGTACGGATGAGGGTTGAATCGATTTCTGCAGCGATAGTGGACAGTTCGTCTCAGTTTCGCGGAGTTTAATGGCTGTTTAAAAGGCAAACGCAAGAGCAAATGGGACAAATAAATTCTGTCAGATACCAGTATGCAATTTCTTATTTATTTATTAAACAAAGAAAAACTTTCATCCTCATATTTCATATTTGACTTTTTGATTTAGTAACAGACAGATAAATCTGTGTGTTTATGTATTGTATATGTTTTAAGACTGATAAATATTCCACATCTGGTTTTTTTTTTTTTTTAATCCAATGTATGTAATCCATGAATGTAAATAAATCATTATATTTGCTTGGGCGAAAGAGGTTTCCAATATGACCGCGATGGAATTAACTCAGATGTCCTTCTATCCCAATATTTTCTATCGAGTGAAGCGTATTTCTCAAATGTTTCATTTCGTCAGTTAATTAATTAAGCAACAACACACTTTGCGTAAAATATCGTTTCAGTAATTTAATCAGTGATAAACTTGTTTCTTGTTTCAATATAAATGTATAAACTTGCATAATGTATGTATCATATACTTCAATATCATGACAATGAAGTCTGATCGTATAAGCTCTCCATCACTTGTCGCACTTCATCTTTGTCTGGCTGCGCTGCTGCCTATACTACTTAGGCCGCTCTTATTTTGTTTTCTTTGCAAAGAAACGTATCACGCTTTTCTTTGAAAAGGGCTTTACATTTACAATATCTCTCAAATTTTACGTTACGTGTATTATTATTTCAAGCGACACGCGTTCATCGAGTATTTAAAATATTCGCGCAATTTTTGACTCTCTGAATCAATGAAAATAAGAGTTTTAGGTAAAGTTACTCCAACTTAATAGTATTTATAAATAAATATCTATTTTATCTATTTATTTATAAATAAATATCTATTTTATCTATTTATATATAAATAAATATCTATTTATTTAATCATAAATAAATGGTTATTTATAAATAAAAATCAATTCGAATAAAAAAATTTTATTCAGCTGTTCAAACATTGCGCAGAGAGAGGTGGTCAATAAAAAGGGCAGGGAAGCACGAGGAAAACGACTTACCAGCCAAAGTATCGATGACATGACACTGCAGACAGGCAACGAGAGCGAGCAACGATGTGGTTTTCATTTTTCACCGGGCTTCGTTCCCTCAGTTCCCTCTCAGTTGACAAACGAACCGCCAAACCGACCCCGGAGGACGATCGTACGTGGAAACGCACGTGTGAACGTTGCTCGATCGTGACTCTCCAAAAGGGGGGGAAGGATAGAAGGAGAGGGGGGATGGTCCTCTGTGTTTTTAGTCCGTGCACTGACTCTTACCACCCGTAAACATTCGGCGGTCAAACGAGGAGCTAGAATAGCGCGTGTTTCTTAGCAAACGTCGAACTATCGAACACGATCGACACGATCGATCCCGCTATCGTCCCATAACAATCGTTCCTGATACGACGAGCCGAGACGGGATAGAAAAATTAAGAAAGTCCCGCTTGACGTTTCGTCACCGGCAAACGAGCGAGAAACATCATCCCCACACCGATGACTGAGACCGACTGAGCACGGTGCATCGAGCCTCCCTCGCGTCGTTGCCAAAAACGCCGCAACGCGCAGGCGCAAGCGTCGACCAATCGTGACACGCGGACGGCTATCGCTAACCGCACGCGACGCTCGGCGACATTCTTTTTGTCGGATTTAAAAAGTGACTTTCGCTGTTTTCCTTTGCACGGGATAGGACCGGAAACAGGAGTTCGGCGGGCTCACGTCGTCCGACGAAATTCCGACGTCCCACGTTCCGGTTCTCTTTTTCTCTTTTTCTGTCGTTCGCGTCGTTTGTCGTATACACGCGCGACTTCTCACCCGCGAGCGCGCGCGGGTGTGTGTTTGCGCGCATATGGCTGCGTGTGCCGTGTATATTTACTCTCTTTGAAGAATCAGCGCGCAGACAGGCGCGGCGCAGCGCAACAGGCGCACGCGAGAACGCGTCAAACCGTGCTCGTAGATTAGCTGCGGAAGCGTAATTTTTTTGATCTACGCGTGCGCTAATTGCAGAGATTATGCGTCCCCGTGTAATGTTTATTAGCTGCGATGTATATTTGAGGATAATTACTTGTCGACCTGCTGATGGTTAATTAGGGATAGGAGACTAGCAACTTTGAGTTGCGAAGAGAATATTGTAAAAATTGACATGTGAATTTATTTTTAATTTCAATCTATTAACAACTCGATTAATCACGCTCGGATCAGTTTTAATCGGTAAGGATTGTATTTTTGCAGGTATTACGAATTTTTTTGGAATTATCTTAATATTGTAATAATGTAACATCATGTGAGTTGCAGATATTTATTTATTTACATATTTAGCAGTTTTGCCTTTTATTCATAATTACTGATTGCTTCTTTGTTCGTAAAAATTCAGTAATTTTGTAAATTTTTGATAGAACTTTACTATTGAAAGTAATTGAATTAATATTTAATCGACTTTAAATAATAAAATTCATACCGATGCGAGAAAATTTTGACTGGCAGTAATTTAACACTTCTTTAAAATAACTGTTAATTAAACTTCCATTCAATTAGCGTAATTGTTCGCGATGAATTAAAGCTCGTAGATATAAATGAATACAGCTTTCCGATATAAAATAAAGATGGAATAAATGGAGTTCATTGCTGTTCGAGATAAAAGCACGATAATTTTCGAATGAAAAATCTGTTAATAATTCACAATGAAGCCTCTGCTAGGAATGAAAATAAATTTTTATAATGGTAAATTTCGTTTAATATCGTAAATTCGTAATTTTAATATCTATTGTAATTTAATAAAATTATGCAAAATTTTTAATATTTATTATATTTAATAAAATTTTTAGTCTTCGTTAGAAAAGGAAAAGTAGTTCACTTAATGGAAGACACATTTCTGTTTGAATGAAACTGCCGTTTCGTTAAAAACGACAAAATAATATGAACCATTAGTTTACCTTTTGTTTTATTCAGTTCGATAAGCCAATCTACCGTAGCGTTGCACAAATTGGACAAAAATCGTTGGTTCCATGTTTCTTTCATGTGCATGTAGAATCTATCCTAAAATTCGAAATGAAACGAGATATCTACAAACAGTTTTTTTGAAAAAAGAATAAAAATGAAAAACAAAATTATATTTTAAAAAGTAGTAATAGAACGGAATATTTCCTTGTAATAACATTTATGTGATTTATGTAATTACATGCTTTAAAATTGTCCCGAGACTTTTGACATTAAAAGTTATAATAAAAGAATATTGAAAAATTCTTTGGCAATTTTTACAATTACGATCCTTTTTATTTAAAATAAAACACATTGTTATGAAAATTGATTAAATTTAATAATTAATTCCATGATTAATGTAAAAAAGAAAATTAAGAACTCGTAAACGAATATTTATGATTAATGAAAGAGAAATGAATAAAAATAAGACATGTATATATAGAATTAATACATACAAAACAAATTATTAATATTTCTCTTAATATATCTTGTTTTTTCCACTTTCTTTATAAAAAAAAAGGAACAAATTAATCTTTCTCAAATAAAATTTGAATAAAATTAATTATTCCATCTTCGTTATACGTACAAAGTATACGCAGTTGCATTCACAATCTTTCCTCGTTACATGTCACATATTCTCACATCGAGAATTTCATTTATTTTCTAAAAGCTGTGTATTCTGCAATGGATTTAATTAAAAGTTTCTAGAACTAAAAGCGTGATCTATGCGCTACAACTATTTTTCGTTGGGAAATTAAATTTTTCATAGGGGGGGCGTAACTTTTGACAGGTTGTTTCAGCACGTGTCGATATTGTCACTCTTTTAAAAAAAGAGGATACGAATATCAATTTATTTTGAAACATTATAAATGTCACATCAGTTTCTAATATAGACGATATTAAGACAAATACTTTTATTTGAGAACTTTGATACAAGTACGTATACAGAGTATTTCAACAGGCTATCAATTATATATAATATGTTTTATCTGATTTATAAAAATAGAAGATATTCATATAAGCAAACGCAGATTATAAATATTGATAATAATTAGTATTTATTTGAACAGAATTAAATTAGCTTTTCATCAGAGTTTTTCTCTCGATTCAGAAACGAAATAGATTACAAGGAATTCTCGTTCGACCATGATTCGGTTTGTTCGTGTATTACTTACGCATCGTAATTTCCAGCTATATTGTTTCCCGTTGAAAAACCGGGTCGTTTACTCTTTACTCGCATGAGAGTATTCGTCACTGTCAGACACATTCAACGGAGCAGCCCGTTATTTTTAAAGAATGTTATTATTTCAACCGTAAACATGGTTACGTGTTAACGTAAATGCCTTCATAGGAAACATTTTTTCACTGCCGTAAATACTCGGAAAAAAGCATTGTATAAAATAACGAAACAGATGAGTATTATTCTCTTACAACTGGAACAAAATCCAACATTAAACATTTCGAGAATGATATCATTAATATTACAATTTGATCAGATATACATGTAATTAACAATTTTAACAGATATAATTTATAATTTTATCGTAGATCGTACAATGTGGTATATAAAGTAACTAGCTAAATAATTATTAAATTTTTATTCATTAAACAGTAAAATGATTACTGAAATTATTACTGTAATTATGATATTTATACAGCATAATTATAGCAGTGTATTTAATTCATTTATTATGTTATACTACACTATGGTATGGATTAGAAAATGTATTTCTAATAGTAGCATAGAATAAATTTTGATAATATAAACATGAATATTTATAAAAAAAATTAATATAAAAAAAAAAAGTGCCGAAACCCGGGATCGAACCGGGGACATGTAGATATTTCAGTTTAACGCTCTCCTCATTGACAAGGAGAGGTCACAGCAGTTGGGTCGTCGATTTTAATGAAATTTGGTCTATCGATTCTAAAGCAAATGTAATTTAATTATGTCCAAGCATTTGCGTCAATACTGATTATTTACAAAGATATTTAATTCTTCTATCCTTTCTATCCCTATATATACTACCCCTGTGAAAGTTTTAAGTAGTAACGCAATAGCGAAGCTGATGGTATAGTGGATTCATACCCGGATGTTTCAGGTTTCGAATCCCTCACAAGGGGAGGAGTATTTTTATATTATCTCTACTTTTGTTTACTTTTTTTTTTTTTGGTTTTCTAATTTTTTTACATAGAATTAGACCCAACTATTATGACCTTTCCTTATGAGCTATTTCGGCATTAAATAAAGGTGGTTTTATTTAATTTCAAATACACCTTTTTAAATGACTCACTTTTTTAATTATGTAATATATTTAACATATGTTTATCTCTATATTCAGTGTGAAAACATTTCACCTTAATATCAATGTATTTTTTCAAACAAAGCAAATTACATTTTAACTATTTTCTTGTTTGTTCAATCTTTGTTAGACACCTGAAGGCGTCATAACCTAAACGTTAACATCTGTAAAACTAAATTATTTGTTTCTAATATAAATTTCTTTCAGTATCTTGCAACACAATATAGTTCAATTTTAACATTAGTCATTCATTAACAGACTGAAAGAATCATTGTACTACACTTGTTGAATGTGCTTTTGTTGAAAAAGCAATATGATATTCAATAATTAGTTAAGTTGCGGTAGTACTCACAGTAAATAGTTGCGGACAGTTTATTCGTCATTCTTCTCTCTAACTCGACCTACTTTTATCACATTGTTTCGCATATCTTGTTGCTTGTCAGTCTTTGCACGATGCACAAGTTTATATTTCCCAGAACAGGCTTTAAGGTTATTCGAAGGGAAAGAGATCGGCTGGAACTCACGGTCGCCGACGAAATCACGTGACGGACAAAGATGGACATAGATACTACGAAAACAAAACACGAATTCACGAGAGAGAAACAAAAGGAAGCTGCCAAGGACGCAGAGTTCGATCAAATATGTTTCATCCGCGTAACAAAAAGGTTAGACAAAAGCGAGCAATTAATTAATGAAAATAAACAAAAGTTTCTTCCTAATTTATATTTACTTCATTATAGAAAACATTATAGAATTTAGAATCCCAAATATATGTATGCATAGAAGATTTGAAGCTCCATTAAAATTCTTACGTATATATGTGTAAAAATTATAATTTATACTAATCTTTAAATTACAACGATCATCTCGCATGCGTGAGTCACAATTATATTTCCGTTATATATCTCTTACAGTTATATATTTTATATTTGTTACATTTGTTAATACGCGAAACGAATAGACAACGTTACTTACGAAACTCGTACAAACAACTCCATTCGTTAATAAATCAGAAGACAATTTTTACTAAAGGAAATACGGGAATACTCGCGTCTCGTCCTCGAAACTGGTTGAAGCCAGTTGAAACGTGCTCGGAGGCCGCGGCAACGTTTCTTCCTGTCTGAACTTGGCCTACAGTTCTGTGCGCCTGCTACGTTCACGGCGATCAGTGTCGCGTCGTGCGTAGATGGTGACGGTTCGTTGGAATCTGATTCCGTAGAAGTTTATAGAGGGAGTGTGGAAGTAGATTTGCGTGTAAAATCTCTTCCTCGCGCCCTAACTATCGAGAAAAGTGTAACGGGCCATCGTTTTCGATTGTAATCACATACTATGGCGAATTTGAGACAAACTCCGCTTACGTGCAGTGGACACACGAGACCCGTGGTGCATCTTGCATTCTCCGACATCACTGAATCTGGATATTATTTAATTTCGGCGTGTAAAGGTAATTTGTTTTCGATTCGCCTGCGTCGAGGAGGAACTCGTCGTCGATTTGTGTGGGTCAATCATTTTTGTTTTTTTGTTTTTTCTTTTTTGTTTCGTTCGCGATCGACACGTTCAGTTCTTGATCGCCTTGGCCTCGTTTCTTCGAAAACCAAGGTTTCACACGTTACGGTTTTCGAGGTTAGACACTGTACGTTCGCGATGATACGAGATTTTTCTGATGAACTTTTCTCCTGTTTTCGCCGAAACAAGTTTATGGATTACTTTGATTAATGTATGTGTTAGCCTAATTGGATGAAAGTTTCTGTTTCAATCTGTTTTATCGAAATACATTGAGTCAAGTGTTTTTCTTTATTTATTCCATATTGTACTGAATAAATTTCCAAAGTCAGAGTGCTTCTATGGAAGATTTATATTCAGAAGGGAATTTAATGTGCTTTCAGATGGCAAACCTATGTTACGACAAGGTGACACAGGAGATTGGATTGGAACGTTTGAAGGACATAAAGGAGCAGTGTGGGGCGTTGCACTGAACCCTCAGGCTACAAGAGCTGCCTCTGGAGCAGCGGATTTCAATGCTAAAGTCTGGGACGCACTCAAAGGAGAAGAGATTCATTCGTTTCAACATAAGCACATTGTCAAGTCTGTTAATTTCAGCACAGATTCCAATTATTTGTGCACTGGTTCCAATGAGAAACTTGTGAGAATTTATGATCTTAACAAACCTGATGCAGCACCACAGGTATACGTCTTGTCAATAATGATTTACAAAAACTTGATGTCTAACATTGCGTATTTAATCGATAATGTCAACAGGTTTTCTCAGGTCATAAAAATGGCATCAGACATGTCACCTTTTTCAATAACAATACTGCATTAATTACTTGTGGCGATGATAAAACACTGAGAGTTTGGGACAGAAACAGCGGTCAAGAAGTAAAAAGGCTAGATTTTCCAGCAATTCCAAATTCTATGGAAGTGTCAAAAGATGGAAATATCATTACCACAACTCACTCCAATATAGTTACTTTTTGGAATAGCAGGGAGTATGTTCTTTTTTTTTTCTTCGTCTTTTTTTTTTTTTTTTT